AGATCTCAAGAGGATGTTGCAATTAGCAAGAAGGAAAACTGGGCAAGACATTCTTTGGCAGAGGGAGCAACATAAGCAAAGGCTGCAGAGATAACTGTGTTTGGTGGAACTACAAGGAGTTTGATGTGTATGTATGATAGGGCGTGGGCTTGTTATTTCCCACTGAACTTGAGCAACTAAAGTTGCTCAGGTTGACTGGAATGTTGAGTTGGACGTGAGGGTGTGGGGAAGGATAGATGAACTAAGCCCTAGGTCTTGTCTGCCAAGTTTAGGAACTTGAATTTTAAACTATATTCAGTGGAGGGCCACTGGAAAATTTTAAAAGCTGGAGAGTAATAGTAAACAAAAGGGAAAATGGGAACAGTGATATGGTTATCGATGAGGTTTAGGAAGTTTAATCTGGCATTTGACTGTAGGATGGCTTGTAAGATTGTAGAGAGAGGAGTCAGGAAAGCTAGCTAGAATATTACATTATTCATGAGTAAGGCAATGAAAATAGAGAAATAGAAATGGATTTGAGAGGGTGTCCAGGCCCTTAGCTATTGGAGAGCCCTCTATCTAAAAAAACACACTCGTTTTAGGCTGTGTAGAGTGACTTTCTTTATGTCAGCTGGAACCAGAAGTAATCTCCCAACATTATTGCCTTTCAAGGAAAAGGAGATTTACTGCACTTAATGGAATGGATACAGTATAACATAAATTCTTTATAATCGGAACAGTGTTCCGGTCTACTGTTTGGCCTCACTCAGCTCAGTGTCTCTTCTCAACATGAGCTTCATTGCCCCTCCTGAGTTTAGCACTTGCATTCTGCTGAATTCAACACATCCAGAGAAGGGATCAGAGGTCCAGCCTCTAATAGTTTCACCACATGAGGATCTCAGGCCCCCAACAAGGTTACCTCCAGGGTTGTAATTTTTTCTTCTTACAAGACCTTATTACATAGTTCCTGCTGAAATGGAGGGTGGAGGAGGAAGGGGTGAGGCCTGCTATTCAAAATGCCTGTTGCCTCTTACCTCTTGACCAGTCTGGACAAGTGTGGTAGAAGCAGGAAAGTCCACTTTTGTGCGGGTTTTATGTGGGCTTGGGGTGGGGAGTCTGGGAATGGCAGCTACTGATTTGGTAATAGCAGCAGAGAGAAAGGTAAGAGAAATGTCACAGAACAGCTGCAGTCCTCTGTCACCTGGACCCCATTACAAATAGATGTGGGAACTCAACTAACCAGGGAGGGTGAGGAAACAAGGTGGTAGCTGGCTTCCTTGCTCTCTCTGGTGCTGGAAACCAAAACTAGTTTCCCTGTTTTTCAAGGGACCTGGACCTATTCACTGACGAAGTTAAACAGTTTATACTGTACTTCATTGATTCTGAGATGCCATGTTTTACATTTTTATATCTTTGATATCAAAATGTTTTGCATTTTTACATCTCTGATATCAGTATGCATCTTACATTGAAGGATATATAATAGTTTAATTGGCAGCTTTTTTGTTTCCTTAGTGTTACGTAAAGTAATAGTACACTTTGTAATCAGTGGTATCGTTGGTTCAGTGGAACACACACAAGTGTATATGTGAGTTTGTTGGAGGCTGGCAGGTGTTAAAAAGGTAAGACAAGTTCTCTCCTCAGAGAAGGAGTCGTCAAAGGCAATGCTGATATTTTAAGCCTGATATGCAGTTTATATGTTTATATAAAAGGAAATCTTTGATTAGTTTTAAGATTTTTGTCACTTTTTAAGTTTTTACTTATTTATTTATTTTGAGATAGGGTCTTTCTCTGTTCCCTGGGCTGCAGTGTAGTGGCACGGTCGTAGCTCACTGCAACCTCACACCCCTGGGCTCAAGTGATCCTTCTGTCTCAGCCTCCCATGTAGCTGGGACTACAGGCATGTGCCACCATGCCTGGCTAATTTTTTAAGTTTTTTGTGACAGGGTCTCACTATTGCCCAGGCTGGTTTTGAATTGCTGGCCTCAAGCGATCCTCCCACCTTGGCCTCCCAAAGTGTTAGGACTATAGGCATGAGCCACCACACCCAGCCATCACTGTTTTAAATAAACTGTAATCAGGAGAATCAATTAGAAGACATTTGGATATCTCTCCGATTATTCCTTAAAAAGACTTAAGTTTTAGGGTCACTCTTATGATTCTTGTGATCCAAGGCTTATCTGCTTTCATTACAGATCTTGCTTATTTTCTTTCCTAGAAATCATCAGTGAATTTCATTTGATTGATCCTACTGTTAACTTGTTTTTATTGTTATCAGTTTTTATAACCTGTTGGGGTAGCTTCTTGGCATTGCAAAATCTTTGTTCAGAACTCTCTGGCCCACGTCTTGATTTTCAGTATCTAGTGCCTTCTTTGTATCTTCCCTAGAAAGATTGTTAAGTTAATGATAGATTGTTTAGGAGAACATACACGGCATGTATATATGTGTATATGATATACTTTTTTTTTTTTTGAGACAGAGTCTCACTTTGTCACCTGAACCCCAGCCTCCTGGAGTACTAGGATTACAGGCATGAGCCACCACGCCTGGCCAATGATATACTTTTATTAGACTTCTAATTTAGAGTTTTTAAGAATTCTCATGCCATTTATATAGTCTACATTGAGACTAGAAGTTTACATGTATGCATATAATCTCAAAATAGACAATATTGCTATATTTACAGAAAAATCCTGTAGTTTATGAGAGTGAGATGATAAATGAATTCTAAGAACTTTGGTTAACAAAGGTGGTGACCCATTAGTAGCATGGTGGATAAGAGCCTGGCTCTGAAGTCAAGCTGCCAGTTATTTGAATTTTAGCTTCTGTGACCTTAGACAAGTTACATAATCCCTCTATGCTTGAGTACTCCTATCTGCAAAATGGGAATAACAACAGTACCTATTTTATGGATTCTAAGAATTAATTCAAATAATATATATAAATTATGTAATAGCATGCCCAGCACAGGGTACAACTGATAAATGTTAGCTGCTATTTTTAATTAATAAGGGATCCCTTCAAGAGTGAGACATGAGCTCTTGAACTATAGGTTAAGTAAAAAAATTTATTCCTAGTTATTTAGTTATGAGATAGGAAATTTAGTTATGAGATAAAATAGGATCTTCTAACTCAATGCTTTTAGGAAATTCCCTAAGTTCCTTAAGTTAATTGAGCATTGTTTTGAAATAGGGATGTAAGTTCCATGAAGATAGGTGCTTTATTTGTGTTTTGTCCACTCCTTTGATTCCAATGTCTATAATAGCACCTGACTTATAGTTATGCTCAATACCTATTTGTTAAATGAATGAAAGAGCCAATGGCACTTAAAAGCTATAAACTTAATCTTGTAGATAAAAGTATATAAGTTATTCTATTATGTATAATTTAAAATAATATTTTAACAATGATATGGAAAGAAGTTTTATCTAAAGTACTAGAAACTCTGAAACCTAAAGTATATGTAAACAAATTGACTTTCATTACTTTATATGTAAACGAAAGGATATGTAAGCAAATTGAATTGTTACTATTTACTATTTTTACAGGGTATAATTAATAATATGCTATTAATTAAAGAGTTTCAATGTACTTCATATAAGGAACATAGAATTTAGGGTCAGGCACAGTGGTGGCTCACTCCTGTAATCCTGGAACCTTGGGAGGCCAAGGCAGGAGGATGGAGTGAGGCTGGGAGTTTGAGCAGTATAGAAGACCCTGTCTCTACAAAAAAAATTTTAAAAACCAGCTGGGTATGGTGGTGCACACCTGTAGTCCTAGCTACTCAGGAGGCTGAAGCAGGATGATCATCATTCACTTGAGTGAATGATCCATTCACTCAACTGATGCATCTGAAAGATGATCAGTTCACTTGAGTCCAGGAGTTTCAGGCTACAGCGAGCTATGATTGTGCCACTGTACCCTAGCCTGTGTGACAGAGTGAAACTCTGTCTGGAAAAAAGAAAAGTTATCTGGGCCAGTTGTGGTGACTCACACCTGTAATTCTAACACTTTGTGTGGTCAAGGCGGGAGGATTGCTTGAGGCCAGGAGTTCGAGGTCAGCCTGGGCAACATAGCAAGACTTTGTCTCTAAGAAAAAAAAAGAAAAAGAAAGAAAAATTAGCCAGGCATGGTGGTACCCACCTATAGTCCTAGCTACTTGGGAGGCTGAGGCAGGAAGATCACTTGAGCCCAGGAGTTTGAGTTACAGTAAGCTATGATGACGCCACTATACTGTAGTCTGGGCAACAGATTGAGACCCTGTTTCAAAAAAAAAGTTGTCTGCACCTAAACCTGAACATTATATGTAAATATTAACAGTAATTATTCCTAGATAGGAGATTATATTTAATTTTAAAATTCTTGCTTATATTTCTCTTTATTTTCTAACATTTTCTAAAATACAGCATTGTCTAAATTTTAAAAGGACCCCCAAAAACCCAACTGGTGCTTATTGAGTGCTTATGATGCATTTGTCATTTTAGACACTGGGGATACAGTGATGAACAAGAGAAGTCTATTTTCTTAGTACCAGGGGAAGAGAGACAATAAACTTAGACAAGCAAGCTCCACATTATAGAGAGAAGAAACTGAAGCCCACAGATGTTAAAGTGGCTTGCTAAAAGTCATGTCACAGCTGGCATAAAAATCCCACTCACCTGACATTTAGCTAAGTGCACTTTCTGTTGTATTAATACTTTACTGGCTTTCTTGGCTCTCAAAAATGGCATGCAAATTATTGAACATTCTAAATCAGAAGTCTCATTGAATTTTGCTTTGAGTCTCATGAAGTAGTTCTGTAGTATAAGGCATTGTTGTGTAGAGTGAGGAACATGTGTTTTCTACCCAGTTCTGTCTGTAGAACATTTGACAAATCCCTTAAGCTCTGTGGACCTTGTTTTTATCATGTGAGAAATAAAGAGATTAGCCTTGATAATTATGAAGGGTCTTGCTTACTTGTTACTTTCATAGTTTTATTGTTTGATTTGGAATTGTGTGTGTGTGTGTGTTTTTTCTACAGCCATACACACTGCTGCTATGGATATGCTGGGAGGATCTGGTATTGAAAGCCAATGTAGAAAGGTTGATATTATCGCAGATGCCGCATATTCCATTTTCAGAAAGCCAAAAAGTTTTACTGGCAACTTTATTATTGATGAAAATATCTTAAAAGAAGAAGGAATAAAAAATTTTGACATCTATGCAGTTAAACCAGGTAATGCTTACAGTTTTTAAAAGTAGTGATATATTTTTCCACATTTTATGTAATGAATACATTTATTTTGTGTGCATGTTTATGTGATTATAAAATGAATATGCTTTTTTTAAAAGCTGTCCTCCCTGGCCGGGAGGGGTGGCTCACACCTGTAATCCTAGCACTCTGGGAGGCTGAGGCGGACGGATCGTTTGAACTCAGGAGTTCAAGACCAGCCTGAGCAAGAGTGAGACCCCATCTCTACCAAAAATAGAAAAAATTAGCTGGGCATGGTGGTGCATACCTGTAGTCCCAGCTACTCAGGAGGCTGAGGCAGAAGGATTGCTTGAGCCCAGGAGTTTGAGGTTGCTGTGAGCTAGGCTGATGCCACGGCACCCTAGCCGGGGCAACAGAGTGAGACTCTGTCTCAATAAATGAATGAATGAATGAATGCTGTCCTCCAAATGAAGGGAAAAACCCATACTTACACAACTTAAAAAAAAAAGAGAGAAATTAAAAATAGAAGTGAGTTGAAAAAAAAAGAGAGAAATTAAAAATAGAAGTGAGTTGAGGGCTTTCGAAGTGATATATAAATGGAGAAGGTCATATCAACTACTAGCCTTTCTAAATCTTGAAATAAGGAATGAAAATTAGTTTTTAAAGTTGGCCTTAAAATCACAGAGTAAAAGATTTTATTCAAGGATGTGGTAACAGATGATACAGTAGGAAGGTTTTTACAAAAAAAAAATTTGAAGATTGTGAACTGTTTTTCAAAAGTTTGTCTCTTAAATGCAGTCTCTTGGAGTAGCCTAATGACAGATGATGAAGATGAGTGAACAGGGTCTTTTTCATGTACAGTGGTGTGATTTGAGAAGTTTCCAGAAGGCCCCCTTGTTCAAAAAGTAACTCTTTCTGAAATAGTAGATGATGATGATGATGGATTTTTTCTTAATATATAAAGTATATATATTCTAAATAACAGATAATATAGCCATAAATGGGAGTTATATTTACCTGTGCTAAAGTATATTTTAAATATTATTCATTAAACTGAGGTGACAGAAACCACATGTTCGTATTTGTGTCATCCCTGCCCACGTTTTCAGTTCAAACTGAATTTAATAGGTGTTTATAGTTTTACAAAGCACTTTTATATACCTTATCTGTTTCACCTTCATAGCAATCCTGTGAGAGAAGTAATATTGTTTAGTGATTAAAAATATGGAATTTGGGAGAGGACAACCCAGGTTCAGATTCCAGCTCTGATGGTCACTAGCTGTGTGACTTTGAGTGTATCACCCACTCTAAGCCTTAGTTTCCTTATTGGTAAAATTAAGAGAATGATAACTTTCACCCAGGGTTTCTGTAAGAACTAAAGGCAATAATGTATATAATGTGTTTGGCATAGTGCCTGGCATACAGCATGCTCACAATATTTAGTAGTTAATATTTATAAACAGAAAACAGGCTCAAAGAGATTAAGCCTTTGCCTAAGAGCAGATGGCTAATAAGTGGCAGAACCTGAACCAGATTCAGGTTTTCTGGGAACTGCTGCAGTGTAATTATCACTTTAGGGTTTTTGTTTTTGTTTTTTTTTAGAAGTGGAGTCTCATTCTGTTGTCTAGGCTAGAGTGCAGTGGCATGATCATAACTCATTGTAACCTCAAACTCCTGGGCTTAAGCAATCCTCCTGCCTCAGCCTCCAGAGCAGCTGGGACTACCAGCACATGCCACCATGCCAGGCTAATTTTTTTTTTTAGAGAGAAAGGGTCTTGATATGTTGCCCAGGCTGGTCTCAAACTCCTGGCCTCAAGCAATGCTCCGGCCTAAGCCTCCCCAAGTCCTGGGATTATAGGCATGAGCCACCACACCTAGCCCACTCTAGATTTTATAGATAGTATCATTGGGCACAAAATCTGAAATTTGATTTAAATTTAAAACCTGTTGAGTATTGAGAACTTAATATGAGCAGGTACTATGATATTAGAATATAACAAAAATCAAGTCATTCCTCCCCTCCGGGAGTTAAGAGAGGAAAAGAGAGATGAGAGGCTAAGGTGGGAGAAATGCTTGAGGCCCAGGAGCTAGAGATCAGCCTGGGCAAAATAACAAGACCCTGTCTCAAAAAACGGGAAAAAAAAAAAAAAAAAAAAGAGAGAGAGAGAAAGAAAACAGAGAGAGGGAGATTGAGATTGGTAACATCTAACTTTACTACAGTTTTGAGGGTTTTATGGCTTTCAAATCTCCTAGCATGCACATGTCTTAGAAGTATCAGTGTGTTAAAATAGCTAACTTATTTTCTAACCACAACTGTTATCTGAAAATAAGACCCGGTAGAATAGACAGTTTAGTTTTCATGATGATGAAGTGAGAAGAAGAGGAAGAAAGAAGACTCAAATACATTAATGCTGGAAAGCAAGTCTTTGGTAATGAGGGACCTCTTGCTTTCAGGGGGCCAGGTAAGAAATGAGTTTTGAGTACTTTGGAGGAATATAGGATAGAGGACTGTAAGGATGAGGAAGGCAAAGGCTCCTGGGGGAGCAAATAAAGGCTTTACAGAAAAGGTGGGTTTTTTTTATTAAATCTTGAAGATGAAATTTGTTATAGAAAAGGAAGATAACTGAGTTATAGGAAAATTAATGAAGAGCAAGTAGTTTGACAGTTCTCATGGGGGCCTTTCCCATTGCCCCAGAATAATCTTAAAATAAAAACAGATATAATGTTTATTAAACAGCTATTAAAATCTTAATATTTTGTAGTTGTTACATTAACCTGATTATTTTGGGGTCAATTTTTCAGGCCATCCTTTGATACCAGATTTCTTCTTAGATGAATACCCAGAACCAATTACCAAGAAAATGGAATCACAGGGTAAGATCTATATCATATTTTATGTTGGAAAATATGGGTACCAAGGTATGTCTTCCAAAGTATAGAATTGATCTTATAACAATGACACTTCTGCCTTCTGCTTTTGAACTGTTTCTAATTTAAATTGAACAAGTAATGTGCGTTCTCAGTTAATTCTAGTAAAGAAGGTTTTTTTTTTCCTTTACCATTAAGAAGTTCTTAATATTAATATGTTCTTTGCATTTGGTTTAAAAAAATTGTCTGAAAAAAATGACCTTTTTTCCAGGTTTTTTGTTTTTAATTTCCTGCATTATCTTTAGGTATTTTATGTTGATATTTTATTTTAAGGAAAAATGTCATTATCAGTTACATCTAAGACCATTTTCACAGTTTGTGCTGTGTGACTACTTTATGGAAGAAATTAACTCTAAAGGTTTTGGTTTTACTTTGTTTTGTTTCTGTCATTCAAGAACCCCCTGAATTGGTCCAGAGTTTACATTTCAGTTTTTGTGTTCTGGCAGTATGCCAGTGGCTTACTGAAAAGAAACAATCTTTAATGAATACCTATGGGAAGAATTTTCTCATGGTTTATTAACAAGAATGCTTCTTTTGGGTTGTTATATTATTTTTATCTTATAGATGCTGTGAATCTCCTAAGTGATCATTTTTTTTTTTTAAGAATGCTGATAGAAAATGTAGGAACAAATTTCCTTGATAGCTTTAAGCAAACTGTAGAACCTTACCACATGCATTTTAGTGCCAAACCCTATTTCCAGCTTAATCTTATCTCTTCTATCTCTGTCTTTTCTTTTTCTAAATTTTTGAAGTAAATTTTAAAAATTACTTAGGTAATGAAAAGGAAAACTTTTGTAGTATAGAAAATTTGAGAAATATAGGAAGGAAAATAGTTGCTCACAATCCTACTACCCAGAGATAGCTCTTTTAAAAATTAGATCTTTGGGCTGGGCGCGGTGGCTCACGCCTGTAATTCTAGCACTCTGGGAGGCCCAGGCGGGCGGACTGCTCGAGGTCAGGAGTTTGAAACCAGCCTGAGCAAGAGCGAGACCCCGTCTCTACTATAAATAGAAAGAAATTAATTGGCCAACTAATATATACCAGAAAAAATTAGCCAGGCATGGTGGTGCATGCCTGTAGTCCCAGCTACTCGGGAGGCTGAGGCAGGAGGATCGCTTGAGCCCAGGAGTTTGAGGTTGCTGTGAGCTAAGCTGACACCACAGCACTTACTCTAGCCTGAGCAACAAAGCAAGACTCTGTCTCAAAAAAATAAATAAATAAATAAACAATAAATAAAAATTAAATCTTTGATTCAGTTGCCACAGGAATGTATCAGAGTATTAAAGCCAGAAAAAACAAGGCTGTCAGTCTTTTTCTCAAAAAGTCCTTTATAAAATTACAGAAATTACCTAGAGAGCCTATCAAGGTCTAGAAAAGTCTGGTCTTTAAGTTAGGTAAGTACAAAATCTTGAATTTTGCCCAACACTCTAAAATTGGATCTATCTTTTGGAGGAAGACAGGCATGAACTGAGCTCATTTAATTCCAAAATTAAAAAAAAAATTTTTTTTAGAGAGAGGATCTCACTCTGTCACTCAGGCTGGAGGGGTGCAGTGGTGTGATCATAGCTTACCTTACTGTTGAGCTCCTAGGCTCAAGCCATCCTCCCACCTTGGCTTCCCAAAATGATACTGGTGAGAACATTTACTTTTATAGCTCTCTTTCTTCTGTTCTTTCTGGTTTAGTCAATAGCAATTCTACTTGATATTTTCTGTAGATATATTAATATATTCATATAGATAGTAGTCCAGTGTATCTGGCCTGGGATCTAACTTATCTCTTTCAAGTGATTTTTCATGCCCAAGTCCAGATATGTTTACTTCATAGTTCACCTCTCAGAGGTTAGTGTGTATCCCTCATTTCCAAAGGGGGAGCGGGTCACCTTTCTATTGCATGCACAACCACTGTTAACATTTGGTTGTACCTTTTCCAGTATTCATCCTATGTATGTTAGTTTGTATAATATATATGTAATTATTACAAATTATGTACATGGCTTTAAATGTGCTTTTTTCTCATTATAAAAGGAATACCATCAGATTCTGACAGTAGACTGTGTGTCAGTCTAGGCAATGTTTAGTATTTGTCATTGTTTTGGACATTTTTATATTTGTGTAATGTGAAGTTAGGAGAGACTATGTCAGGGGCTGCTAGCCATATGTCTTTTCATTTTTAAGTTATTAAAATGCTCTAAGTGTCTCTTTTCTATTCAAGTTGACATATTTTTAGTCTACTGGCCACACCTTTCAAATGTATTACAGGTGTTTTTTGTCTCCTGAAGTTTTTTTCTCTTGTGCACAGTCATCATGCCTATGTCTAAATATTCCAGGTGATAAATTATGCAATTTATCTCTTGGCAAATGTCTTTCAGGGCTAAGGTTTTTGGTGCAATCTCCTTGGCACCTCAGACACGATGATATATCTTGATTAAATATACAGATCATCTGAAGTAGTCATCCACTAGTAAGGGAGGGGTTCCAGCAGTTATTTTACATGATAAATCTAGTTCTCTCTGGTGTAATTACTAAAACTAAATACATTACCTGCCTATGGAAACATGAAGGAGGCATATGTCTTTCCTGCCCTTGCTTTGACAGCCTTTGCTTTGTCCAGTTCTGGTGAGTTCAGATCTCGGCACTATGCTCAGCTTTTATGTTGGTTATATATTAATTAGATAGTTAGATAAAGAAGAAAATGTGGAGGTGGTATTGCCCAGTGCATAAAATTGCAAGCTCTGGAGTCAGACTGCCTGGATATAATCTTGAATTGTGTTTATTTTATTAAACAAATTGAAATACTTTCTAGAATAAAGCAAGTTAAAAATTTTAAAAAGGGAAACTAATTTTTATATGTTTTGTATCTGGTCACTGGCAAGAGCTTCTTTTGTTATTTTTAAAGATTTCTAATAGTTTCTGATAGAGAAACAGAAAGCATAGGCTTTGTAGTAAAACAGATCTGGGTTCAAATTTTGTGCCTGCCACTTATATCTGTAACTTGGGCAAATCACTTCAGCTCTCTGAAACAGTTTTCTCATCTCTTTCCTTCTTTATGTAAGTTTTGTGAGGAGTAGTGTGATAGTACATCATTTATGCACTTGATACATTAAACTCCCTATAAATATTAGTTGCTGTAATTTATCATTAACTATCTTGAACTTTCTAAGTGGCCAAACTTCTTGTCTGCATATAATAATGTCTTTCTAGGATTATTTCTGGCATGTCATAATATACTGACTTGAACTTCCAGGAGGTTCGTTGAAAATACTATTTTATTTTAGTTATTCTTATTTTATTCTTAATTTTAATGAGAAAATCTTTAGATTTTACCACAGTAGGGTGTTAATGCTGGTGTAAGATGGACTTTTTTTTTTAAACCATGGAAGTTAGATTGATGTTTTTGATGATCTTTGAGTATAATAAATTTTATGTTTTGAATATGGTAAATGAATCGAGTAACTTTGCTTTTCTATGATCTTTTCTTTGAAGGTTTGAAAAATAGCTCACCTGCTAAATCATTTGGGTTTTTTCTGAAATTAATTCTTTGAAAACTTTTATTTTCTCATTCACTTTTTAAAAATAAAAACTGGGCACAGTGGCTTATGCCTTCAATCCCAGCACTTTGGGAGGCCAGGGCAGGAGGATCACTTTAGACCAGGAGTTTGAGACCAGCTTGGGTAACAAAGCAAGACCCTGTGTCTACAAAAAATTTTAAAAATTAGCTGGGCATGGTGGCACATGCCTGTATTCTTAGCTACTCAGGAGGCTGAGATGGGAGGATCCCTTGAGTCTAGGAGTTCAAAGTTATAGTGAACTATGATTGAGTCACTGCACTCTAGCCTGGGTGATGAAGTGAGATCCTGTCTCTAAAAAAAAAATAAAAATAAAAGTCATAAAACCAAAATCATCCATTTGAAGTTTCAAATTTTATTTAAGGGTTGACATGTAGTATTCACTTATAATTTTTTAAACTTCCATATTTATTTTATCCTTTTTCTCTTTTGAATTTTAATTTTTCTTTTTTCTTGATTAAATTTGCCAGAAAGTTGCCAGTTTTATTGTATCTTGTTATTTTTTCTTGAAAGTACTAGACTTTAAATTTTATTTCATTTTGAATTCTGCTTTTCTCTTTTCTGATTCATTATTTTAATAACAACTTTATTGAGATATAATTTATATATACCAGAAAATTCACCATTTTAAAGTATACAACCTGCTGATTTTTAGTATATTCACAGACTTGTGCAACTATCTGATTCATTAATTTTTTTTTTTTTTTGAGAGTCTCACTTTGTTGCCCACGCTAGAGTCAGTGCCGTGGCATCAGCCTACCTCACAGCAACTTCAAACTCCTGGGCTTAAGCAATCCTGCTGCCTCAGCCTCCAGAGTAGCTGGGACTACAGGCATGCACCACCATGCCTGGCTAATTTTTTCTGTATATATTAGTTGGCCAATTAATTTCTTTCTCTTTATAGTAGAGATGGGGTCTCACTCTTGCTCAGGCTGGTTTCGAACTCCTAACCTCTAGCAATCTGCCCGCCTCGGCCTCCCAGAATGCTAGTGATTCATTAATTTTTTACTTTTGCTTTATTATCTTTCCTACTTTCTTTGAGGTTGTAAGCTTTTGTTCCTCTTCTCACTTCTTGGGCTAATACGTTATTGCTATTCATTTTAAAATAATGAAATAATTTTTGACTGTGCATTTACCCCCTTAATATAGCTTTGGCCACATCCAATAGATTTTGTTATGTATTGTACTCAATTTTGATAGTATTTTAAGTTCATCTATATAGAAAAGCTTAGTATAGAAATATAAAAAATAGAAAAGCTTAAAGAAAAATTTTTAAATCACATCTAATCAAAATATAAATATTGTTTATATTTTGGTTTATTTTCGTCTAATCACCTTTTTCCTTCACAAGTATAATTTAAAATTCATACTCACAAATATTTACCCATTGGTTCATATTATATTTAATTGTATATACTATCATTTTCTATAATATTACTTAAACATTGTAAATATTTCCCATATCTTCCAAAACAACTTTTTGAAGTGGCAACTTAGTATTATATCACATGAATGTATTAATAATATTTCTTTCAGTGATTTTTAATTATTTCATTTTATAAATGTTACTGCTTAAGTTTTTGTTCTTATATGATTTTCTAATAATAGATCACAAAAAGTGTGTGATAAGGCAAAAGAGAGGACATTTGTAAGGCTCCTGATACATATTACCAAATAGGTGCCACTTAATGCATTTAAAGTAATTTTGATCTAATAGGTCTAATTGGTAGCAAGTCTGTCCTGCTAATTAATTAATTCTGTGTGTGACCTTACAATGCCAAAGCTTTAAGTCCATTTACATAAATAATATTTTACAGGTGCTGTTCCAGAAGTCAAAGAAGAAAAGCTGCAGCCACAACCAAAACCACGTTCTGGAGCTGTGGAAGAAACATTTAAAATTGTTAAAGAATCTCTCAGTGATGATGTTGTTAAAGCCACTCAAGCAGTCTATCTATTTGAACTCTCAGGTAAGGATCATATCTGGTAGGCTGGGCTTTTATGAAACAAAGCAGGAGGTTTCCTTTGGCAGAAAATCAGGCACCAGTAGTGATCGCCTGGACAGTTGGCTGGGTCCAGGACCCTCACTCTTGAGTGTAGACATTCAAGAATAACAAATAACTGTTGACTTGTATTTTTAAGTTAAGATCAGTGCATTTGGACACATGTAAAATACAGTGTCATTACAAATATTTCCAGTGTTAAATAACTCCTTGGCATATTTAGTTGAGAGAAAATCCTACTTAGAAGGGCATATGGATGATGACAGGTAGTATGATGCAGTAATTTATAAACCATGGTCACCTTGCCATTTTTATCTTTGAGATTACTCATGTCAGTCTGAACATAGTCAGTTTTTTAAGACCTCTTACAATTTTTCTTCTCTATATGAAATTAACACATACTAATAATAGTTTAAGAACTAGCCACTGGGCAGAACACAGTGGTTCACACCTGTAATCCCAGCACTTTGATAGGTTGAGTCAGGAGGATCACTTGAGGCCAGGAGTTTGTAATCATCCTGGACAACATAGCAAGACCCCATCCCTAAAAAAAATAATTAAAAAAAACTAGCTGGGCATGGTGTCACACACCTGTAGTCCTAGCTACTCTGGAAGCTGAGGTGGGAGGATTGCTGATCGCTTGAGCCCAGGAGTTTGAGACAAGCCTGGGCAACATAGCAAGATCTCTGACTCTTAAAACACATACAAAGAAAAATAATAAATTTGTATTAAAAAAAAAAAACTAGCTACCTCAGCCCCATTAAACACAGACTTTTTTTATAACTCATCCCCTCTGCTTTGTCATAGTCCATTTGCCTTCCTGTTTTTACTTCCTTGTTATCCTTGGAATCCATGGCCCATTTGCTTTAATCACTCTCTTGCCTGTGTCCTAAACTTACTGGACCCCTTGTGCTTATGTCATCACCTGTCAAAAACCTAGTTCTGGGTGAATCAAACTATCTAGTTGCATCCATGCTGCTGAGTTTTGCAGGAAGAAAAGAAAAAAATCACACCAGCTGGTAGATTATACCCAAAGAAATTCACTATTTTCTCTCTTCAACTGGGATCTAAGCAGCACCTCAGAATTCTGTGTTTTCGTGGTCAGCTTACTGCCTCATTTTCCAGTCACTATTTTAAACTTTCTCAGTGTTCCTAAAATCTCCCATCTGTCCCTTCACCCCCTTCCTGCCAGTGCCAGCAGATAATCCCACTTCCTCTTTGATAGAGATAATAGAAACCTACAGACAGAAATTGCTTCAGTTTCCTGCCATCAGATGTGAAATCAACGGTTATAGGCACCACCCTCTCCTCCTTCCCTCCCTCTGGATCAGAGAATCCCAAGCTCTAATGTCTGTACCGAGTCCCTGGAATCTTCCTAAAATGCAGAATCTGATTCAGTAGGTCTAGAGTAGGGGCTGAGATTCTGCATTTCGGACAGGTGATGACAGTATTGCAGTCCACAAGTCGATCACACTTTGAAGCAAAGTTCTAGACCCTGTTTTCCTTGGCCTCAGGAGCTCTGTGCTGTTAATCGTGCCTTCTTGTCAACCTGTTCATCTGGCAGCCTCCCTACCAATGGCATTTTCATGTTCTCAAGTCTTTTCTGTCTTTAAAACAGAACCTAACTACAATAACAAGCACACACACCCTTTTTTCTCCTTCCAGAGTCAAACCTAGTTTAACCTACAACTCAATCTCCTGAACACACTCTGCTTGGGTATCATTTTTCTCCATTCCACCAAATTTGCTTTCACCAAGGTCTTTGGTGACTTCCATGTCACTACTGGGCATTTGTCATTCCTCCTTTGTGACCAGTTTGCAGCATTTGATGCTGTTGACAACTTCTTTCTTTTGGAAATGCTTCTTTCTTTGGTCCTCCCTAGTAGCCTCCTTGCTTTCCTTCTCTGCCTGTGATCATACCTTGTCCATCTCCTTTGCTGGATGCTTCTCTATTCTTCCCTTAAATGATGTGCTTCAGGTCACTGTCTCAGCACTCTTGACACTTCACAGACTTCCTCTAAGAGGCCCCAACCATTCACATGGGTTCATTGACTATGAACTGATTAATTATGTGTCTCTATTTCTAGCTCAGTCAGACTTCATTTGACATTTCTCCTTGACTATCACAAACATGCCTTAATCAGAAAATGTCCAAAACAACTCACCATTCCCAACATCTGCCTTTGCCACCTCCCATTAAATCTGCTGTTTTTCGGTAGTCATCCCTGAGTAACAAAAAACAAAACCAAAAACCTGTATTTATCCAGTTTTCCAAGCCCTAAACCAGCAAATCATTCCTGTGTACCCACCCCCACCTTTTATTCTTCATACTCAGTAACCTAGTCTGTGGTTCTGCCTTGAAATTCTTTCTCAGATGTGCCCACTTTTCTCCATCCCACTGCCACAAACCTGATCCAGGCACACATACTTAAGCTCTAAAACTACTCCAGCACCATCCTTACTAGATTTATGCATCCTCTTGATCCCTCCCCACTGTGTTATCTACATTGCCGGGAGTGTAGCTCACTGTGCTCTATACCTGGACTGCCTCACAAGCTCATCTGATGCCACTCCCGTCCCCTTTTCTGTCTTCCAGTCCTACTGTATTTTTTTCAGTTCCTGACACTTGCTACACTCTTGATTCTGGCTTTTTTGCACATAACTGTTCCCATTTTCCCTTTCCCCTATCCATCTAGCTAATTCTTACTTAACTTCAAATCTGAGCGTCAACTGGGCTTTCCTGACTTTTTTTTAATTTAGTTTTTTATTTTGCTAAAAGATACAGAACATAACATTTGTCATTTTAACTATTTCTAAGTGTACAGGTCAGTAGCTTTAAGTGCATTCCCACTGTTGTGCAACCATCACCACCATCCATCCCCAGAACTTTTTCATCATTCCAGTGGAAACTCTGTTCCCATTAAACACTGACTCCTCATTCCCCCTCCCCTAGTCCCTACTAACCACTTTCTACTTTCTGTCTTAAGAATTTCACCAGTCTGGGTACCCTGATACTTTATTATTAATAATATGCTCCCACATTACCCTCCACTTACTCTTTTGTGAGAACCATGTCTTTCTTGTTTATTGAAGAGTCTCAGAGCCTAGCAGAGTCCCTGGAACATAATAAGTGTTTAATAAATATTGGCTGAATTTGATTGATTGAGGTTTGGGGATTTTAACCTGAGAAAGAGCATTTTGTAAGATTATTCTAATAGTAGCAATTATTAAATTTAAGAAGAATAGATCTCATTTGGCATTTATTTCTGTCTTTATCTCCATATAGGTGAAGATGGTGGCACATGGTTTCTTGATCTGAAAAGCAAGGGTGGGAATGCTGGATATGGAGAGCCCTCTGATCGGGCAGATGTGGTGATGAGCATGTCTACGGAAGATTTTGTAAAAATGTTTTCAGGTGAGTTTTTAATTTTATTAGTTTACCTGTTGTTCAAGGAAAATTTAACTCCAACATTTTACTTTATCTCTTTCCAAATAATCAAGATTCATAAATGTTTGCAGTAGTGGAATCATTGCAGCTATTTATGTCGAGGAACACTTAGTTTAGGGAAGGCTATTCTTACTGTCGACTGTACTGACCCTTCTACCTCACCCACCAAATGGGAAATTTCCTTTTTGCATGATTGAGAAGCCAATATAATGTTGGGAACAGAGAGATAATTCAAAGGGACTCCTATGTGGGCTTATTTATATTAGCTGGACTAAGATATCATGTTTCCAATAATGCCATGGTCACTGGAGGCACTGAACCTAATATCGACTTGCCGGATTAGAGTAAGGTCATTTTTCAGTCTTGCCAGCTTTGTAACAGGAAATAGATACCAGCCCTCTGCCATGGCCCAGTGACCCTGCTTTCTGTGGAGTCCCTGACTTAGAGAACCTTTTGCATGATTTTCTGTTCTGCTCATTTACCTCCAACTGTGCCAGAAAAATTTTAAGGGCAATTTTCTCTATTTTCTACTCTTAGAACACTACTCCAAATAACACAAAATCTAAAAAATTAGAAGCATCACTTTAAACTAAAGCATCAGAACATTCTGCTTGAAAGAGTCTTTCATGCAATGAATTATAAATGTTATTCACACTTTGTTCTGTTTTAATCTTTATAAACAGGATCACAGTATATTCTATGCCCTCTAAGTCTTGCTTTCCAATTCTAATCCAGGATGCTAATTGCCTACATTCTGTCTGAGCCAATCTGTATATGATGTACTAATGATCAAGGTTTCTTTAAAATTTCCCCTTTTTTGCAGTAGTGTTAAATGTTTATCATAGAAAAATTATTGCAGAAAATGTACTTAAGAAAAAAGAAAAGAAACTGTTTTATCACACCACTGAAAGATGGCCATTAGTTAATTTGGTTTGGCATTTTGTGTGTGTGTGTGTGTGTGTGTGTGTGTGTGTGTGTGTGTGTGTGTGTGTGTGTGTGAATGTGCATACATATATACATGTATGCCTATAAAAACAGGATCATAACATTACTACTGTTTGCTAATCTTTTTCTCTTAGTACATTATAACATCTTTCAATGTTAATGAATAGTTATCTCTTTAAAGATTTTTAATAGTTTGTTGTTTACTTAGTGTTTCAACAACTATTTATTTCTCCATAGAACTTAAACACAGTGTTTTGGACACATTTACATGCTCAATAAATGTTTGGTAAATCTGAATCTTATATATATATATATATATATATATATATATATATATATTTCTGAAATTAAAGACTATTTAAAATAAAACTTTATTGTCAACTTCTAAACTGAAATAATAGAAATTATATGTAATATTTATTGTGTGATTGCTATGGGTTAAGCAATACTTCCAACAGTCCTTTCAGATAAAATATTTTCTCCATTTTATAGCAGTAGAGACTGAGACTTTGATGAATTAAATAATAAACTCAAGATCAGATAGTGAGTGAGTAAATGGAGTCAAAATGGATTTGACTCCAAGCTAACTCCAAAGTTCATGCCCTTAACTATTATGCTATTCTGCCCACAAAGGTGAAAAACAAAATCAAGTGACTTCTTTCTTTCATTTACATTTTACTTATATAGCATAAATTTGAAATAATGGGTTCTCCATTTATATCTTTCTATGAATGTGCTCTTGGATTGACTGGAGGAGGTCAGACAGCTATATGAACAATTCTTTTTAAACCTAAGTTATTATTATGAGGTATATTTTATAGCTGTGGTTTAGATTGGGAGAAAGTGAGTTTGCTTCTACTCTTATGTCCTGTCATTCTTACTGTTTATCCCATCTGCTTTCTGTCAAATGAGCACAATTTAGACCTTATATCCTAACGATTCTCTTTTAAGAAACTGTAGCCATTTCTATACCAAATTTATATGGTGGCTACAGTATAAATCTAAAAACTTAAAGCAATTAATAACCAAAAATAATCAAAATGTCTCCTTTTGGCCAGTAGAGGCCACTATATGGTAAAGCAATATGATAGAAATAAAATAAATTGAGTAAGATTACCTGAGGAGGGATATATATATATATATATATATATGTATATATAGTTTTTTACACATATATATGTATGTATATATAGTAGCTGTTTTACTATATATGCATATATACATATATATCTATGAATATGTGTGTGTATATAATAGCTGTTTTTTAAAACTCTTTAAAACAATATTATTGAGTTACAATTTATATGCAATAACATCCACCATTACAAGTATACATGATTTTTAGTAAATTTATAGCTGTACAACTATCACTACAATCCAGTTTGAGAACATTTTTATCACACCAAAAAATTCTCTAATATCTCTTTGTAGTTGATCCTATTTCCACCCCTGACTCTCCCACCAGCCAAACATTAATTTGCTTTCTGTGTCTATAGATTTGCTATTTCTGAACATTTCATATAAATAAAATCAAACAGTATATAGTCTTTTGCATCTGGCATCTTTCACTTAGCATCAGGCTTTTGAGATTCATTCGTCTGTATGTTGTAGCTGGTATCAGTGGTTCAGTTCCTTATTGCTGCTGAAAAGTAATACATTATATGGCTATACCACATACTGTTTATGTAGTCACTAGCTGATAGACATTTGGATTATTTTAAATTTTTGACTATTATGAATATTACTGCAGTGTACACTCTCATATATGTATTTTTGTGGATCTGTGTTTTCATTTCTCTTAGGTAGATTCCTAAGAGTGGAATTGCTGGGTCATATGCTAAGTTGATATTTAACTTTTAAAGAAACTACCCAACTGTTTGCTGAAGTGGCTGTACCATTTTTACATTCCCATCAGCAATGTATTAAGGTTCTAGTTTGTCTATATCCTCACCAACACTTATTATCTTTTTTATAATAGTCATTCTAGTGAATATATAAAGGTATCTCTCATTGCGGTTTTAATTTGTATTTCCTTAATGATTAATGATGTTGAACATCTTTTCATGTGTTTGATAACTTTTTTCTTTTGAGACAGGGTCTTACTCTGTTGCCCAGGGCAGAGAGGGTGGTTCCTAATATACTACTAGACACATATTGTACCTTCTAGAAGATATGACCTATGTATAAATAAGCATAATGTAAGACAGAAAATCATAAATGAAAGTTAGACACACCTGACAAGTTCTCTCTCTCCATGGAACTCATATTTATTGTATGTTGCTATTAGCTACAATTCTATTTTAATGCTCAACTTTTTTATACCCTGGCATTTTTTGTGGTTAAAATAATGCTAACACATACTTTTGTGTCCATATGTTATACTTTTAATGATCATTTCTTAAGAATTTTTCATTCATTTACACTGTATGATTTTTTTTTAGTTTAAATTTGAAATGTTAAAAGTTTAATGAACTTTAACAGATTGGAAAATTAACTAAAATAGATAGTATTTGTTTACCAGAAGTCATTTGAGAGCCATGTATCCTTTAGTGTATAAAAATCTTTTTAGTGTAAAAAGACTTGCTATAATCTTTTGCTGATTGTTGTTTTTATGTTATCTCTTATAGGATATTGTTAACATCTAAGTCTAGGAACAGGGATTCCCAAGATACTGATATAAAAATCTGTAATAAAAATTTGTATGCCTCCGAGATTTATAGAACTCAAGGAGATCCTTTTTATAATGCATGTGCTTGAAGCAGTATATCCCTAAGGGCACTAATGGTTGCTTTTCCCTCTCTCATTTTCTCATTTTAGGGAAACTAAAACCAACAATGGCATTCATGTCAGGAAGATTGAAGATTAAAGGAAACATGGCCCTAGCAATCAAATTGGAGAAGCTAATGAATCAGATGAGCGCCAAACTGTGAAGGAAAAGAAAATAAAATATGTCGACTGCTATGCTCAAAAAGTAAAAAAGCTCAACAGTTAAAATCTAACGTTTGTTTTCTTCCCCTTTGTATTATAAGGCTATGCCTGTTTGTGCTAGAAAAAATAGAATTTCTGTATCTGTAAGACTTGAAATTGTAATTAAAACAGTTGACTAACAAACATAAGCTTCATTAAATGGAGTTCTAAGACAGTATGTTTTTACATTTTGAGGGGTTTGCTCACTGAGCCTTATATCTAATTCACTATCTTCTGTCAGGAAAAGCATTATGGGCAATCAGTCAGGCTCAAGTAATAAAAGTTACTCTTTTCAAAGCATCTTCTCATGTAAAGTGAAGCTAGTCTGTTTTAAAATTTTTAGTTTGAGACTATATATTAATGAAAATCTTAATCATGTTTTGGCTTTTTAAATCTTTAAAGAAAATCTTCTACAGTGCATTTCACAAAAATCAAATAATCTACTTAATAAATACTACTTATGAAGACTAAATGAAACAAAAAGTTTTTTATTTTGTTAACTAGTTTTCCAGGTGTTGTTATCTATAGGAAAATATTATTAATGTAATTCAACTAATGGGAGCATGTATCCTATTTAAAACTATGCAAAAAAATGTCTTAAAATAAAATAATTTTCTCCCCAGAAGTATGCACTTGGCTAGCATTTTGAAATGAGAATCTTAGAATAGGTGGTCAGTATGGGCTGAATCGTATACCCCCCATTTGTTGGAATCCTAACCCTCTCATTACCTTAGAATGTGACCGTATTTGGAAACAGGCCACAATTACCATTAGGACGGGCTCTAATCCAATCTGATGTCCTTATAAGAAGAGGAAGTTTGGACATAGGAAGAGACACCGGGGATGTGTACACAAAGGAGGATCACGAGAGGACACAGATGGCGTCCATCTGTAAGCCTTGAAAGAAATAAAGTCCGACACCTTGATCTTGGACTTCTAATCTCCAGAACTGTGAGAAGTAAATTTCTATCAGCCTTAACAAACTAATACAATGGTTTGCTGGGAGGGAGGAACTAAATTTTAAAAAATCCCTTACCTTTAATTTCCATCAGTTAAAAATACTGGCTAGGTGCAGTAGCTCTCGCCTATAATTCTAGCACTTTGGGAGGCCAAGCAGGAGGATCACTTGAGGCCAGGAGCTCGAGACCAGGCTGTAAGAGCAAGACCCAGTATCTCTAAAATATAGAAAAATTAGCTGAGTGTGGTGGTGGTGCCCATCTGTTGTGCCAGCTACTTGGGAGGCTGAGCCAGGATCGCTGTAGCCCAGGAGTTGGAGGCTGCAGTGAGCAATGATGACCCCACTGCACTCTAGCTCAGGCTATACAGCAAGACCCTGTCTCGAAAAAAAAAAAAATACTTAGTGTAACTCTTTTACTTCTCATCTTCCGTTCTTTAAGATTATTGTGCTATTAAGTAATTTAGCTAATTCTGACATTCCTTAGAATTGTAATATTAGGAACATTTTAATCTGTATTTTATAAATGAAGAAACAGGATCAGAGATGGGAAAGGACCAACCCAAAGCCAAAATTCACAAACCTTATCCAACAAAAACCTCCCAGTAGACTGACCTAGAATGAAAATTGAAGATCTCACCTTTTCCTCCAGGAAGCCTAGTTAATTGACTTTGGGGCACAACCTCAACTCCCTTGGCAGCTCCCAGTCATTCCAGCTACATGAGGAACCTGCTCAGATGTTGCCAGCAGTTTTTCAACTGAAATTTTTTAGGCTTACCTCCTATCTCTGCATTTTCCAAATGATCTTGTTAAATGAAATTTATTAGAGGCCATTGTTTTGGACTGAGCTACTGCATTATGCCTTAACAGACCAGACCAAACCAGAACAGAGTCCACGTAATCAAAGTGAACTTAAAAATAGATTCACAGCAATCAATCAAGAGAAGCCCATGGCTGGCCATCACCATGTCCAGGTTCACACTTGTAATCCCAGCACTTTGGGAGGCTGAGGAGGAAGGATTGCTTGAGGCTAGGAGTTTGAGGCCAGCCTGGGCAACATAGCAAGACCCTATCTTTACAAAAAATTTAAAAAACTAGCCAGATATGGTGGTGCATACCTGTAGTCCCAGCCACTTAATAATCTGAGGCGGGAGGATTGGTTGAGCCTAGGAGTTCAAGGTTGCTGTGAGCTATGGGCATGCCATTGCACTCCAGCCTGGGCAACAGAGTTAACAGTCTGTCTCTCAAACAAAAACAAAGAGTGGGCCTAGTCAACCGGAGCCAGCATGATAAGGAGGCCCTCTCTGCTGTTTAATCCATACAAGGAAAGTAACCTGATGTAATCTGATACTAACCAATCCTCTTTTTTTCTTTTCTTTTTTTTTTGAGACAGAGTCTCACTCTGTCGCCCTGGGTAAAGTGCAGTGGCGTCATCATAGCTCATTGTAACCCCAAACTCCTGGGCTCCAAGTGATCCTCCTGCCTCAGTATCCTGAATAGCTGGGACTACAGGCATGTGCCACCACGCCCGGCTAATTTTTTCTATTTTTGGCCCTTGCTCAGACTGTTCTCAAACTCCTGACCTCAAGCAGTCCTCCTGCCTTGGCCTCCCAAAGTGCTAGGATTACAGGCATGAGCCATTGCACCTGGCCCAATCTGTGTTTTGCACTATGTTATTTCCTTGTTCTGCCAATGCTGCTTTACAAAAGCTGACCATTCTGCCACACCTTGTGGAGCTTCTGTCTATTTTGTAGGTTGGATGCTGCCTGAATCATGAATTGCTAATAAGACATTTAGATTTTTAAAATTCAGTTTATTGACATTTTGTTCTTTGACATTCTCAAATGTTTGGGAAAACTGAAAATGGAAAATATTGTTAGGCAGAGATTCTAGGTTCTGGTCACTAAAACATGAACTTGCTAATTATACCCATTCCAGCAGGTGGGTTGAGTCAAGGGGCCCTTTCCCTTTTCTATATTGACCTGCCTAATTATTGCCCTAAGCGATTGTTAGCTCAGTTGCTCATTGTAATCTCTGCCTTCCAGCTTTTTAAAACTTTCCAAACTGGAATAAATAGAACTGACTGATGCAGGGCACTGTCATGTTAGGGGACCAACAATAGGTTCCTTTGGTCCATCCAACCGTGGGTAGATTAAACCTTTGTTTTAACCCTATTGCTGTCCATTATTCATCCCTTTTTAAGTAACCATCTAAAATTTTCTACCCTAAATTTGCATTTCAATAGGGAGGGCTCTTAGGTTACACAAGGCAGAACATTTACATCTCAAACACACAGGACTTAGATTCCAGGTCTAAACACTATCATTTGCTTACAGAAAGAAAGGTGTAGGTAGGATGCCCAGTTAAAACAAAAATGTTTGCCAGCATGGTGGCTCACACCTGTAATCCTAGTACTCTGGGAGGCTGAGTTGGGACGATCACTCGAGGTCAGGAGTTCGAGACCAGCCTGAGCAAGAGTGAGACCCTGTATTTACTAAAAATAGAAAAAAAATTAGCCAGGCAAGGTGGCGCATGCCTGTAGTCCCAGCTACTCGGGAGGCTGAGGCAGGATTGCTTAAGCCCAGGAGTTTGATGTTGCTGTGAGCTAGGCTGACACCATGGCACTCTAGCCCAAGAAACAGAGCAAGACTCTGTCTCAAAAAAAAAAATGCCCTGGGTTGGTGGCTCACCCCCATAGTCCTAGCACTCTGGGAGGCTGAGGCAGGAGGATGGCTTGAACGCAGGAGTTCGAGACCAGCCTGAGCAAGAGTGAGACCCTGTCTCTGCTAAAAATAGAAAAGTTAGCCAGGCCTTGTGGCACCTGCCTATAGTCCCAGCTACTCAGGATACTGAGGCAGGAGGATCACTTGAGCCCAGGAGTTTGAGGTTGCAGTGAGCTATGATGATGCCACTACACTGTAGCCCAGGCAACAGAGCTAACTCTATCTCCCACCCCCCCCCAAAAAAAAAGACAAAATGATCAAAGGTGAATCTTGTTTAGACTAATGCATCATCCCATTGTAAAAATTTCTAGTAATTTTCCTTTATGGATACAAATTTTTACAAAGAATATAAACAAAACTGACTAAATACCAGAGGGCATATTTTGGAGACTGATTTATTTAATAGTTCAATAGGCTGTCTTTTCAACTTAGCTTCTGTTTCTGTTCAAAGCAGAGCTCATTACCAAATAGGACAGACAAAGCATTTTCAATGCCTGGACTCAGCATAGACTCAGCTCTGAAAAAACAGCAAACCTGCTTGATCTGAGGGACTAACTTTCATACACACTTTATCTAGCTTTCTTTTTGCCTTTGGAGTATCATAGTAACTAAGAAAAGGTTGAAAATTCAATTTTCTTATCAACTAATTGCTTAAACTTTCCATTTGCCTTCTATAAGAGGTCTTTTAAAGAGGCAAGAATTTTTTTTAATGTTTTTAGATGCTTTCGTACATCAATAGGTATTCCTGGGTAGGCCTGATTCAGGAGCCCTCATTTTTAATCTCACTTCTTAGTTGAACAGTCTTGTTCATCTAGAAAGTTCCACATAATGACCATCTTAATTCTAATTTATTCTTAGTAAGATTTTCCCATTTTTGTAAGTATTTGAAGTTTCTGGGGCCTGCTATTTATACATTATAGAAAAGGCAAACATAGCTAGAGATGAAGTACTCAGTTCTTTAAAAATTAAGGATCCCATTTTTACATTGAATCTTGGGTCTCAGAGCTGAGATGAAAGCCTAAGAGGGAAATGCTGCAGGGTTGGGTTGTGTAGTGCTTCACAGTGTACCTTGTTGCACAGGTGTGAGGCTGGCAGGTGACCTACTACTAATATCAAATAATCCATTTTCATGACCCAGATTATCCTCTTGTGGGAGTTTTATCTTATGATGGAGTGTCATTGTAATAGGTGTTAAGTGCCCAAATTGTGCCCACCACAGACTAAATGGTGAAAGTCTCTCCCTGCCATAGAACACCTGCAAAGGCCAGAACAGGGGGCTGTCTCCTTAGATGTTCAGATAACAGTGCAAGGACACAAAGATTACAAAGAAGCAGTGAATTATACCTCCAAAAAACATGAATAAAGCTCCAATAATGGACCCCAAAGAAATGGATATGTATGAAATGACAAAGAATTCAGAATAATATTCATAAATTCAGTGTGCTACAAGAATGTATGGATAGAAAATTTAATGAAATTTGGAGAACAATACGCAAG